GGGGTGGGGCAGAGGAGACTTTCGAGGCTTACCGAGCTAAAGAGATTTGCTACGTACCCATATAAACCGGTTTGTTGCTTGTGCTAATCAACAGGTGGACTCTGTTACCACCGCTTTTGATCAAACTTATGGCATCAGCGTGGGGGATGTTCTCCGTGCTCCTTCCATTGATTTCTAAAATCTCGTCTCCAACCTTGAAAAAAATGGGCGACAAAACAAAATTATCAATTCAAACTTTTAAACCCTACTATCAGTAAGAGTTTTATCCATACTGATCTCCATGCATTTCCCATAGTGCCGACAAGAAGAATTTGTTTCAAAATCGAGGGCTGCTGTAGTTGCTGATCATTTCCTTTATTCTCCTGACCTTAACCTTTGATTCGGGACTGATGTATTGTGGGGAGAAATGAGATGCTGATAACCCCTAGGGGTTTAAGAGTGAACTCATTAAGCCGACAGAGCTCAATAATGAAATGCTACGTCAAAGGGTATGCGTTCAACAACGCGGGCTCAAGTGCCTTAGGTCTAAAATTTAGCGAAATTAGCGGAAAATAATAAGGGCTGACTTTTAAAACCGAGGAACTCTGTTTTCGTCGAAGGCATTTTCCCACTTCCAGAGGTTTTACGGAGAAAATTAATTTTTGGAAATTTTTAGGGGGTGTACCAAGTTTTTGGAGGTTGTTCTGTAAAAGAAAAGCGGCAAAGAAAACGACTCTTCGAAACAACAGAATAGGAAATCAACCATGCGCACCACTCGAAATCCGTGTTTCCGCGGCAAAACCTATCGCATGCGTAAACGTTATTCAGCTCTGTCCACCAAGCCAACATATTTCAAGTTATAATAGTTGCAATCCATGTAACTGCAAATTGGACGTTTCCAGTCACGAACTGAGAAGCTAAGCCAATTCACTGAAAATATGATCAAAAAACATGCTGCTCTTGCAATAACATCATTTTCTCTCACCCTAAGCCTGCCATCTCTTTGAGCAGCTCCACCCTCAGCCATGCGCAGAACGAATATCGGTAAGTCCAGCTCTCTTCCCCCTCGGATACTAAACCCATACCCTTGGGAATCTCGCATCAGTTCCACCTCCATGGTCTGTTGGCCATAGCCACGCTTATCGTTGACCCCTCCGGTGTAACTCTGAGAGAACTGTGGTTGCTTGAACTGAATCTCCGGATTTGATCTCCTCCTCGGATCGTTTCTCCCGTTATGAACATTGTTCTCCTGACGCCGTTGCTCTTCTTTCACCCTAAGCACCTTCTCTCGTGAAGGTTTAGGAGCCACCCGGGGAGGGACTTTTGGGGGTGGTTGTGAATTGTGGTTCTGTGTCCTGGGAAGGCTTTGGAAGCGACTGTCGACCTGACAAGAAAAAAAAACCGAATTGGTTATTTAATTTTCAGGCGACAGTTTTACTTAAAGTCGATCGTAACTGTGTGTCTTAGGTTAAAGCCGGCGATCAGAACAAGACTATAGCAAAAGGTCCAATTTTTAAGTGACTCCGAAAATACTCTTGACGTCGTTTTTTTTATTTTGCATTGCGCAAAATTACCTCCAACTTGAGGAAGGCTACAAAATTTTAGGGGACTCGTTTCTAAAGAAACTGTGGTACTGTTTGCGTGGGGGAGTAAAACAAGATGATTTGTTGTTTTCGTTTTTATCATACCAGTTGGGTAATTTTTGTTTCATCAACTGAGTTTAGAATGTAAATTAACCACTGTAAGAGTTTCAAAGCTGATATTTCGAGCGTTAGCCCTTCGTTTGAGCGAATGACG